TGTGCTGCCTGGAATAGAGTGAGTGCTTACTGATTGATTAATTAATTACTGGCCTTCTTGCTAAAGATAGCTTTGTTGGCTTTGGGATTTTGTGATACTGCCAAATTTTAATCCTATTACCTTTCTTCACAGTGGTTCCCATTTGGGAAATTCTCTATCCTTGGCAATATTAGCATTTTTGATTGAAATCTTATTGGATCTAACCCCCATCCCTTCACACAACTTCATTCAGAAGAAATAGGTCACATAAAAGGGGAAGGGGAAGAGCTTTGGAAACATTTAAACTTAACAACAACCCTGAAATGTAAGTGCTGTTATTATCCCCATTTTACAGTTGGGGAAACTGAGGCAAAGGTTAATGACTTGCCCAGGATCCCACAGTAAGTGTCAGGCAGGATTTGAATTCAGGTCTTCCTGACTCTATGTCTACTGCTTGATCCATTTCCCCACCTAGCTGTAGCATCTGACCTTTCAGTAGTGAAGTGGAATGAAGCATAAGTTTTCAAACATCACCATTGGGTTGATTTGTTTGGCTTGATTGGACCTTATCATGAGAGACTTGGACTGGTGATAGAGAGTGGATGATGGAAAAGCAAAAAGTAGGAGATGAGAGGACCAAGATAGAGGTTTTCGGTTTACCTATCTATACTTAGGAGATAAGACAAGGATGCTACAGCAAAGAACGATGAAAAGGAGGTCAAGAAAACATTGGAAGGGGCAGCTTGGTGGTGCAGTAGATAGAGCATTAACCCTGGAGTCAGGAGGACCTGAGTTCAAAATCTGGCCTCAGACACATAACACTCACTAGCTGTGTGACTCTGGGCAAGTCACTAAACCCCAATTGCCTCACCAAAAAAAAAACAAACAAACAAACTCTGGGAGCTATAGGTATCTAGAAGGGAGGTTGATAGTATCAACAGCAGCAAATGCAGAGAGGTCAAAAGAGGATGAGGAATAGGGAAAAGCCATTGGGATTTGCAATTAGAAAATCCTTGGTACCCAGGGAAAGAATGGTCTCAATTTAAAGAAGTTGAAGTGAGCAAAAATGAAGGCAATAAGTATGAATGACTTTTTTTCTGTACATTTTACTTCGAAAGGAAGGAGAGGTATAGCACAATCACTTGAGCTAATGGTAGGATCAAGTGCAGGTTTTTAAAAGATGAGAAAAATCTGGGAATGTTTGTAAGAAATAGTGAAGGAGCCAGTGGATAAGGAGAGATTGAAAATTAGGGAGAGTGGAGATGATCAAAGGGGCAAGCTCCTTGAGGAGATAGTACAGAATAAAAGGCTGAAATAAAGAGCATGATATTTGCAGGGAGAGGGACCACGTGTTACTTTCAGAGCAAAGGAAGAGAGCACAGGATGATGCTGAGGATAATATCTAGCTCCAGCTGAAAAACCCTGCATTAGCCCAGGCTGCTGAAAGCTTTATGTAAATAGTGTTTCATCTAATTCTTTCATCTAATCACCTCGATACTTCCTCTATGAATGGAATGAGCATCTTTCCAACGCTTATGAACAATCTTTCTTGGTCATCACTGAGTCAACCTAAAAGACAAAAACAAAACTTCAAATAATCTCTACAGTCTGCAATTATTTTTATTGACTTGCTTGTCTCTATATTTCCTCTAAATAATGCTATTCTTGCTGTTTCCTGGTACAGAATGAAGCTCGGCAGGTGCTGCCTTTCCAAAGTCTCTATAAACAGAGCCACTAAATTATGAGCTTCAGAAACCCAGCTGTGCAGAGAAGGAAAGCCTGCATCTTGCACAATCACAAGCACGTATTTCGGTACCTGGCAGGGGAGTTAAATTATTATTACCCAGAGTTGGTAATCTCACAAATGATAACTACTTGTATCCAAGCAGCACTCCCACCAAGTGGGAACATGTTACCTGTCTCTAAAAACTGCAGAGAGAAAAGAGGGAAAACAAAAAACAAAGAGCCTTTAGCCCCTTACAATCTCTCTGATTAGGAAAAGAGAAATATCAAACTTCATCCAACCAAGGTTTCCAATGGCAATTATACCAAGAGTTGAACAGAAATTGCATAGATGGTGTGGGATTGCAGTGGCAGCTGGCATCCTAAATGAAAACAAATAGCTTTTTGGGACCCCTACTTTCTCATCTGAGTCTCCACCCATTTGTGAACTGGTGTGCTGCCCACCAGTGACAAAATTATTTACAATCCTGGTTCCTAATAGAACGTTCTTCTTTTTTTTCTAGTTGCAACATTAGAACTATTGCTTCGGATGAGGGGGAAGCTTGCAGCTTAGAATTAGAACCAGAGATGATGGTGTATATGTAGTATATGCGATTCTGTTTGTATGGGAGAAAGAGATTGAAGGAAGCAGCCCTATTTGGTGAGTAGCTGAAAAGCTGTGTTCACATTCCCTCTCTTTTCAAAGTATCCCATTTTGGGCTTAGCCACCATTTCCTTGAGTGAAAAAGGATCAGTTAACTCCTACAGCTCCACCTCATTACTTATTCTATCTAATGTCTACCTACAGAGTTGAAGGCACATCAGAACTTCTAACAAATGCCTAGGACCACACTGAAAACTGCAGGGAAAATCTAGAAGAGGTAAGAAGAACACATCTAACAACCTACAGCCAAAATTACCTTTGTAATGCAGAATTCTATCACTCTCTCATTAATAAACCTTCAAAGGCTCCCCACTGACAATGTACAAATTCATTATCCTACCCCTTGAAATCTAACAGAGGTAAGGTAGTGAAAAGGACACTGGTTTCGGAGTCAAAGCTTCCGAGTTCAAATCTTGGCTCTGTTACTGATTATTTTTGTAACTTTTTTGGGGGGGGGGGGCAATCATGGTTAAGTGATTTGCCCAGGCTCGCACAGCTGTTGTCTGAGGTCACATTTGAACTCAAGTCCTTCTGACTCCAGGACCAGTGCTCTAGCCACTGCACCACCTAGCTGCCCCTAGTTATAATAATCCTGACTAATCACCTTAACTCTGTGTGTGTCCATTTTCTCAAGGATAAAACTGAGAGGGTTGGAGTAGATGATCTCTAAGATTTCTTCTAGCTTTCAATCTATAATCTCATTACAATGCAGTTCCACACTCCATTCACAGCTTTATTGCACGTTATTTTTCCTCACATAATCTTTGCTCCAGTCAAACTAGACTGCTCAACATCTCCCAGATGTTTCCTGTCTTTTCCTATCTTTTTTCATAACATTCCCTACACCTGGGATAACACCACCTCTTTCCATCTGGTTGTCAAAATATTATCTATCCTTCAACGTCCAGGTAAAATACTAGTTCCTCCATGAAACTTCTCCTGATTGTCCCCTATTGTGAGCTCTCAATTACTTATAAAATCCCTTATTATGGCAGGGACCAAGTTTTATTTATCTTTGCACCTTTGTCGTGTCACTTCTGTAACTTTATGCAGCTGGCGTCCCATGTCTAGAATACCTTCCCTCCTCATGTCTATATTCTAGACCCTCTTAATTTCTATCCAAGCACAGCCAAGGTGCCACATCCACGTAAGGTTTTCCCTGATTCCCAGTTGTTAGCTCTCATCCCCTTAAAATTACTGTGTACATAGCTTGTATTGACTCATCTGCTTAGACGTAGCCTGTCAGGAGAATGCAAGGTCCTCGAGGGCAGGGACTGTTTGATGTTTGTATTTTTATCCCCTATGTCTCCCGCATGGTAGGCACTTAGCGACTGTTCATTTACATTTGTAGCTCCCTCAGTGCCCAGCTATAGACAATACTTTAGAAGTGTTGGCAGAATGAATGAGGAGGCAGAAGCAGGGAGAGGCAAGAGTTGAGAAGAGGAAAAAGGAATGGATAGGATTGGTCAGTTAATAAACTTCTATTCAGTGCTTCCTATGTGCTAGGCACTGTACTAAACACTATGGATACAAAGAAATGCAAAAGACAGTCCCTGCCCTTAAAGAGCTCACAATCTAAAGGGAGAGACTACAAGCTAATGATTATGTACAAACAAGCCACACACAGGATAACCGAGGTCATCTAGTCCCAGTGGTGTCAAACTCAAATAGAAACAGATCCCTATGAGTCCCATAATGACTTAAAAAATAACAAATTAACATTATCTATGTTTTATTGCTTTTGTTTCTTGGTAAACATTTCTCAATTACATTTTAATCTCAGCTAGGTCACATTTGTTGAATTTGACACCTCTGACCTAGTCCAACCTCCGTGTTATACAAATGAGGAAACTGAGGCCCACAGAGGTGAAGTGGCTTGTACAAAATCCCCCAGGTGGTAAATGGCAGTGGGAATTCAAAGCCAGGTCTTCTGAAACCAAAAACTGAGCTCTTTCCACTGTCCTCATGCTGGCTCTTTTTTTTATTCACTCAAATGACTGACAAGTCCCTCGAAGATCTTCTATCTTTTTATATGCTCTGGCTATCACAAAGCGTGTTTTGTTGATGTTATTAAAGCCTCAGAGGAGTCTCTGCAGGCAGCTCTGGTTATTTCAGATCAGGAAAACAGTAAGAGGGAAGGGAGGGGCACATTATACAGACAAATTAGTTTTCCTGAGTATTTTCCCCTCAAAATGGTGGTGGTGGGCAGGTAGAATTGGGCATCACTATGGCACAGCATGTGCCATCTTTTTTTTTTTTTTTTGGTAAGGCAATTGGGGTTAAGTGACTTGCCCAAGGTCACACAGCTAGTACGTGTTAAGTGTTTGGTCTGAGGCCAGATTTGAACTCAGGTCCTCCTGACTTCAGGGCCAGTGCTCTATCCACTGTGCCACCTAGCTGCCCCACAGCATGCCCCATCTTCCTATGGACAATCAGCTGCCCCTCTCTTATCAGAGATGGGGAAGGTCACATTTACTGGTATCAGCGGAAAATGAATGCTAGAGAAAACTAGATTCACCAAGCAAAGTTTAATTCTGACACATTACAAAGGATGATTACAACCAAACAGTACTCTGAAATCCACCATCCAGTTTGAGAACTACTCAGACACATTTTTGCCTTAGTTCCTAAAAAATTTTTTTTTTAATTTTTCATTTGGGCGCAAGTGTTAAGTGATAGTTCAATTCTTTTATCCTTAACTCCAAGAGCTGCAGTAATTGTCCACTTCAGGGTGTTTTCAGTAAGGTCTAATCTGCTTCTGTGTCTCTTTCAGTTGCATCCCTTCTCTGCACACTTTGATTTATAGTTACAATTCATGGTTATGAAGATATGCTCTATAGGCATCTATTCATCCATCCATTTATTGTTAAGCCTTCTTTCCTTTCTTTTTCTTGCCAGCACCAGGCCAGCGGAAGCCACGTAATTGTAGGCAGTCAGCGACATTGTGGGCGATGTAATACAGGTTCAGCATAGCAGCTGGATGAAGGATGTCCACTTCAGGCTTTTTTGCTTTCTTCCCACCCCGGCCCTTCCCCCGGCCTTTTCCCTTTTTGCCTTTACCTGGCTTTTAAAGAAAAGAATGAACATAGGGTGAACAATCATATTCTGGAGAACAGAATTTGTATCACAGTCAAAATTTGTATTGAAATTGGGGGAGAAGGGAAGTTTTATTGAGGAAGAAAATTGTGGCATTGGTGGGGGTGGGGCAAGGAAGGGTGAATTAATGAATTAACAAGAAAAGAGAAAAAATGGAATAAAGCAAACCAATGATCTATTTCCACCTTTAGCTCTGTTCATCTGTTATTTTAGAGGTGTGTTGCAGTAAAGAAGACACTGGGTTTGGAGTCTAAATTTGATTTGAATTCTAGCTTCGATTAAATTACTTAACAGCTGTATGACCTTGGGCAAATCACTGAACTCTTTTGGACCTCAGTTTCTTTTTTAAAAAAAATTAAATGAATAAATTGACAAACACTTACTGTTTATATGTGTCAAGCACAATGCTAAGTTCTGGAGATACAAAGATATCTGGCCTTGAGAAGCTCAAATTCTCATGAGGGAGACAATTAAACAACTATCCACATACAAGTTGCATAGAATGTAAAAGGCGGTAATGGCAGAAAGAAGTTGATAGCAGTCCAGGTAGGGGGAAGCCAGAAAGGCTTCTGGGAGAAGGTGGGGATTTGAACTGAGTCTTTAGGAAATGGAGGTGGTGAAGAAGAGGAGAGAAAGATTGAGATAAGCCTTTAAGGAATTGAGAAGGAGGAAGTAGAGAGAGCATTCCAGATATGGGGAAAGCCAGCAAAAAGGCAGAGATAGGAGATGGTGCGGAGTTCAAAGATCAGCAACAAGGCCATAGGGTAGCTGGATGGTAGCCTATGTGGAGAGGAACACAGTGTGAGAACACTGGAAAGGTAGGAATGGGCCAGGTTTCGAAGGGCTTTAAATGATAAACAGAAGGTTTTATATTTGATCCTGGAGGTAATGGGGAGCCACTGGAGTTTATTCAATGGGGAGGGTAACCTGCACTTCAGGAAAATTACTTTTAGCAGCTCAATTTGAATTTTGTAAAAAAAAAAATTGAATTTAACAAACATCAAATAAAATTAGCATTTCCACATATATTCCCTACTGTAAAATAGGAGAGGATGAGACATAAAATTATGAATCTCTATAGAGCTTGCTTTTCTTTTTAAATATGTAATAAATTCAACATTTAACTTTTAATACTGACCTGCTTGTCTGTGATTTCTTCTGGCCATCCCTCTGTTCTTTCTTTCTTTTTTTTTAGCATCCCTATTGCTATCCCTCCTCTTATTCCCACTCTCCCTCCAAAACGGAGGAAAAACTCCATTAAAACCCTTTTAACAAATATGCACATTCAAAAAAACAAATTCCCAGATTGTGTGCCTCAGTTGTACCATCTGAAAAATTTGTTAATTGGAAAGATGTTAAGATCTTTTCTAGATCTAAATCACAGTGCCTGGTACACAGCAGGTACATAAGAAATACTTATTGACTGACTCTAAATCATATATATACATATATATATATATATAGGCATTTTGTGTTATTGTTGTTCAGTTGTGTTCAACTCTTCATAACCCCATTTGGGATCTTCTTCGCAAAGATATTGGAGTGGTTTACCATTTCCTTCTCCAGTTCATTTTACAGATGGAGAAACTGAGGCAACAGGGTTAAGTTATTTGCCCAGGATCACACAGCTAGTAAGTGTCTGAGGTCAGATTTGAACTCAGGAAGATAAGTCTTCCTGATTCCAGGCCCAGGGCTCTATCCACTGCACCACCTAGTTGTCTGTACATAGGTATGCAAGAATGTAATTCTAGCAATCCCTCTGCTTTCTTCCACCCAAACTATTATTTTCTAAATTGCTCCCTCCAGGACATTGGTGGTCCTGTAAAGGTTTCTGTGACCCTTTCCATCCCCATGCTCTTTCCCTAGCTTTGCGAAGTTCTCCTTTCCTAGCTCTACATCTCTCATGGAATATCATGTCAGGCACTTAGTAGTACATGAGCAAGAAGATAGAGAAGACTTTTTGAAAAATCAAGAAGAGCAATCTTAAGGAATAACAAAATTTGGACTCATTTAGTTTTAGCCTAGGATTTAGCTTAGGTACAGAGACATAAGAACTTTAAATGCAGACATTCAAATTGATACACAGATAAATAAATTACTATTATAGTTAGAGGGAGGCAAATTCATAAATTAAAGAATTAAATCAATCAGCTAGCTTTTATTGAGCACCTACTATGTGCTTGGAACTGCATGGGCACAAAAGCAACATAGTCTGTGCCGTCAAGGAGACAAAGTTCTTTTGAGAACTAACAACACAAAGTAAAATTAGGCATGATTTAGGAATCTATACAAGCATTCAGGAGGATGTTTGCTTTCAACTATCTCCTAGAATGAAAATTAAAAAATGTCACACAAAGAGACCTCTCCCTCAATCACCTGCTCTTCTGGAATCATGAACCAAGATCAAAACAATTCTGCCACTGTTCCTGGATGGGATGTGTCAATCTACTGCTCTTTAGCCCCTTTAACTTTCCAGACCAAGTATCTCTTCTTGGCCACCACTCCTCTTGGTCTATTATGGAGATACCATTGTAATATAAGTTCCTTCATGGTGGTGGAACGGTTCTATTTTGAAAAACATAACCAATTATCTTAAATAGGGAGACAAAAGGGAAGATAAAAGGAATACACCAGTGTAGAAAAGAGGAAGAAGGAGGTAGAACTTACTATTTCTCATAACTGGGGTATGTGAAGAATTTACAAACAGGGAAGGCAGGCATCAGATGAACCTTACTTATCTAAGCCAGACACAGGAGAGCTGAACACATGCCCAGAATATGTGTGCGGGCACACTCATAGAAACTGGCAGAGAGATGCACCAAATTTAACCAGGAAACAAGCGAGGATGGGGGGAAGAGGCAAAAGGGAGAATAACTGGAAGAGAAATAGTTGCAAACAAAACAAATTTCTTTCTTTTAAAAAAAAGTCATTGTGAAACATGACAAAATTCCACAGCAAAGAAAATAGGGACAAGGAATTTAAATTCAGCACTTTTGATTTACATAACAGAATAGTGCAGGGTACCCTTGGGGGAAATATCTTCCAGAAACCAATTACTCAATCCTGTCAAATGTGAACAAAATCCAATTTCTTAATTAAACAAAAAGACATTTCCACTCTTAGTCTGAACACCATAAACAAGATATATTTCAATTATCTTAGTTTCAGGTAATTAAAATCCTTACCCAACACTGAAATTGATTAGTTCTTTAACTCAAGGAAGACTGATTTGGTCTTTGATTAAAATGAGACCAATGACTTCAGACTAGGACACTATCATATTTATGTGTGTGGGTTTGTGTGTGTGTGTGTGTGTGTGTGTGTGTGTGTGTACTTAACACAGCTGAGGCCTTAGCACTATATTCTTTTAAACAGGTTTCACCATGTCACTATCCTGCTCAAAAAACCTCAGTGGCTCACTCTTGCCATGAGGACAGAATACAAATTTTTCTGTGTGTTTGTTTTTCTGGTGAGGCAATGAGGTTAAGTGACTTACGTAGGGTCACACAGCTGGTAAGTATCATGTGTCTGAGTTCACATTTGAACTCAGGTCCTCCTGACCCCAGGAGCAGTACTTGATCCACTTCACAACCTAGCTGCCCCATTTCTGTTTGGTTTTTAAAGCCCTTCAAAGGCTCTCTTTCCAGGTTTCCAGCACATTACTTTTGTTCAAAAACTGCACATTCCAGTCAAACTGTTCTACTTATTCCTTATAGATGACATTCAATTTCCCAGCTCAATGCTTTTGTATAGACTGTCCCCCATGACTGAAATCTCCTGATCTCTCACTCCATACACTACCTAGCTTCCTTCAGAGCTCAGTTCAAGTGCCAACCCCAACAGGAAACCCATTCTGATCCCCTCAGTTGCTAATGCCCTCCCCCAAGAAATTGTTTTGTGCATGTTTAGTATTTAATCTCCTACATACTTCTTATTTTTCAGTCATTCAGTTGTATCCAACTCTTTGTGACCCCATGGACCATACTGCACCAATACTGGTCATGGTTTTGTTTTTTTTTTTGGCAAAGATAGAATGATTTTCCATTTTCTTCTCCAGTGGATTAAGGTAAATAGACGTTAAGTGACTTGCCCAAGGTCATACAGCTAGTAAGTGTCTGAGGCCAGATTTGAACTCAGGTCTTCCTGACTTCAGGCCCAGCACTTTATCCACTGAGCCACCTCACTGCCTCTGTATCCGTGTAATTTTCTCTCAATAAGCAGGCAAGTTAACCTAGCTGAAGCAGCAGGGAACCCAAAAAGGGAGAGAAGAAGCAGCATGTATCAGCCAAGTCAAACCACTACTGCCACCATCTTGACCATCTTCTCCCTGACAGACCCAATGGAGAAAGCCTAGGATCTTGAATCCAAGAGCCTTGGGAATGGTAATGATTTCTGCCCTGTGCCCAAAGCCATCATTCTATGGTGCGATAGCCTGGCAACTATTTTAGCACACGCTACATCCACAGCTACTGAAGACCCGGAAAATAAAGGTTTTGCTACAAAAGTTCCTGGTACTGTCAAATGACTCAATTAAAACTCACATGATTTTAGCAGTGAAAATCACATAAAAGAGGCATTACCATCTATTTGGATGTTACACTCTAAGGACCACGGGATCTTTCCATCTGACTTGAAGCTGAAACCTTCCATATGTGTTATCTCCCCTATCAGATTGGGAGCTCTTGGAGAGCAGTGACTGGCTTATCCTTCTACATGTACCTCAAAACTTAACATAGCACTTGGTACATAATAAGTCCTAAATAGGGGTAGCTAGGTGGCACAGCGGCTACAGCACTGAGATTGGAATCAGGAAAACTCATGTTTCAGGGGCCTCTGACACTCCGGGCAAGTCACTTCACCCTGTTTGCCTCAGTTTCCTCATCTGTAAAATGAGCTGAAGAAGGAAATGGCAAACTGCCCCATTATCTTTGCCAAGAAAACCCCAAAATGGGGTCAGGAAGAGTTGGAAATGACTGAACAACAGCTACTCTTGTATACAACCTAGTAAATTTCATGTTTATCTCCTCCTTTAGAATGAGACCTCCTGGAGAGTAAGGATTCTTTTTGTCTTTCTTAGCTTAACACAATGCCTCATGAATAAGAAATACTTTTTTTTTGGTGAGGCAATTGGGGTTAAGTGACTTGCCCAGAGTCACACAGCTAGTGAGTGTTATATGTCTGAGGCCAGATTTGAACTCAGGTCCTCCTGACTCCAGGGCCAGTGCTCTATCCACTGTGCCACCTAGCTGCCCCAGAAATGCTTAATAAAAGCTTGTTGACTGTCTTATGCAGACTCCTTGAGATCAGGAACTATTTTGTTCTTAAAAGTCTTTGCATCCCCATTGTCTGACACATAGTAGACATTTTAATAAATGCTTGTTGACTTGAATGCTTGTTGAATATATATCAATAGCAAACATTACATAGCATTTAAAGTCTGCAAAATGCTTTGCCCATCTCATTTGATATTAACAGGATCACTTGTGAGATATATTTACCTAAAATAAGTAGGTTTCATACTAGCAAAGATCTTGAAATTAATGGTGTGCCCTTTGGGAAATGGCCAAAGAAATTCTGGTATGTGAATGTCATGGAACACTATTGCACTGTAAGAAATGACAAAAGGTATGTGTTCAGTGAAACCTGGGAAGACTTATATGAACCAAAGTAGAGAAAAGAGAGCAGAACCAAGAGAACCATGTATACAAAAACAACTGGTAAGACAAACAAGAATTCTGACCAATGCAATAACAAACTATAATTCCAGAGGACTGATGATGAAACATGCTATCCATGTCCTGACAAAGAGGTGCAGTTGGAATCAAGATGCAGAATGACACATATATTTTTGGATGTGACAACATGGGAATTTGCTTTGCTTGACTATGCATATCTGTTACAAGGATTTTGTTTTTCTTTAAAAAAAAAATCAGAGTGTTTCACATGATTATACATGTACAACCTATATCAGATTGCTTAACATCTCAGGAAGGGAGAAGGGAAAGGAGGAAAGGATAGAATTTAGAACTCAAAACTTTAAAAAAATGTTAAAAATTATTTTTACACATAATTGGGGAAATTTTAAAAAAAATCAGAGGTATGGGTGAGAAAGAAGAAATAAATACTCATAATTTTTTAAAATAAGATAAAAGTTACATAAAAAGAGGCTGATTCATTGTACTTAGTATTAGAAATACATTAAGCTAAACAAAAGCAGTGTTTTCAATTTCATAAAATGAAGTTAGAAACTGTAGTTTTGTTAAAAGTCAATATGTTATTAGAATATAACATTTTAAAAGGGAGTTATGCTACTAGCCATAACACATGGCTAAAAAAAAAACAGGATAAAAATGTTTGCTGAATAGCTTAATTATGCTCCCTCACAATACAACCTAATGGCTACCATTCTTTGTGGGAAAAAAAGGTTTTTTTAATTTTCAAAAAATGAGAGACCACATGAGGATTCTGACTTTATGCAATCCTTCTGGGGAAAAGTAGGACATAAGGAGGGGAACAGGAAAGCACAGTGGTGAGACAAAGGGTTACTATCCCAGCCCATCTTATTTTGAAAATTCTGGTTATTTTTCCAACTTTCCACTTTTCAGTGTTCATACGTGGCATTAAATGTTCAAAATCTGAAACTATGCTTTTTTTTAAAGCTCTTTTGAAAAGTGCTCTGAAGACACAGGTGGCTGACATAAGAGCACACCACCATCTTAGCCAAGATTAACTCAAAAACAGAAGCCCATCCAGGACACTGCTTTTAAGGTTCCGCACAATGTTGCTGTCTTTTACAAACGTATATGCTTTTTCTTTAAAACATCTTTAAGACAGTTACTCTAAAGGAGAAAGATGACTCAAAAGTCTGGGCCCCATCCACTTCCTGTGTCACTACAAGGGAGCTCTGGGGCCCTTTGTCTCCCATGAACAAAATGCAGATTGAATACAGGATGAGGATTTTGAAACCAAAGTGACATCCTGAATTACATCGATTGATTTGCTCGAGGAGCATGGGTTTAAATCACTCTTATTTTGTTTCCTCACAGACAAAAATGGAAAGAGCAATTATTATTCATCACATAAAGGGAGCACAAGGGTGAATGATGGCCAACTACACTTGAGATTCCTACATTAAAAGCTCTGTGAAGATACACGTATTCAGGGGCAGCGAGGTGGCGCAGTGGATAGAGCACCAGCCCTGGATTCAGGAGGACCTGAGCTCAAATCCAGCCTCAGACACATAACACTTACTAGCTGTGTGACCCTGGGCAAGTCACTTAACCCTGTTGCCTAACCAAAAAAACAAAAACAAAAAAACCAAAAAACAAGACACATGTATCCAGGGGCAGTTAGCTAGGTGATGCAGTGGATAGAGCACCAGGCCTGGAATAGGGAGACCTGGGTTAAAATCCAACCTCAGACACTTACTAGCTGTGTTACCCTAGGCAAGTCACTTAACCCTCTTTGCTTCCAAAAAAAAAAAATAACCTAATCCATCATTTCTCTAGGAAAAGGTTTTTTTTCAACAGCTGCAAATATTTATTGAGCAGCTACTGCATGTAGGGCACTGAGGTCAGCTAATGATGTAAGATGCTAGAGATACCTGCCACTGCCCTGACGAAACTTGTACCATAGTTGCGGAGACAGGTGCACACACACACAGAAGTGTAATAGGATCTCGTGTGTGTGTGTGTGTGTGTGTGTGTGTGTGTGTGTGTGTGTGTGTGT